CATTCTAGAGCAATGTATGTAAAAACTAAGGTTCGTAAATCATAAACAGGAAGAATGAGGGGGCTGGTCTGTATGCAGTGCATGTTGGCCAAAAGCAGAAGTGATATTCTTGTTTGTGATTTCAGGGTGATTGCCATATTGTAAAAATGTTGTTTGACCCATCAGTCCCAAAGAGGCAGCTCAACAAGCGACCTTGTTAGCCACTGTCACTTGACATTTCTCAGTTAGTCCTCAGTTGCTACTTAAGACACGTAAGTCATGAACGTCTTAAGTAGTAGCTGGGGAGTAGACGTCACAAAGAAACCAACAATTTACTTTCCTGTGTTGATGCTACGACAAGTAAACGCTAATACTAAGTTCTTGGGGCGACAAAAAGCAAAACTCCTAACGTGACCGCCGGAGAAACATACAACACTGCTGTCACTCACTTTATTCGACCGTGGTCTATCGAGACCGGAACTAAAACTACCGGAAACGGAGGCCATTCCCGGCCCTAGTCGTGACAGATGATTTACAGTTTCTAGTCTTTTGTCCCCACTTCCTCTAAAAAGCACAGTTTTGTGATTGGTCTTTTCTACTCCTGGTATTGAGCACGCATTGTGACCGTTGGGATCATTTTATCTTGAACAGGACGGGTAGACAATCCTACCCAGTGGCCATACTCCTTGTGGCTCCTTGTTTCAGTTCAGCAACTAGCAGATTTCAGATTCTTTTTTTTTTCTCTCTCTACTTCTTCTCTCTGTAAGAACAGGGATGTACCCCTAGGTAAAGTGCTTTCAAAAGAAGATGACTAGTAATGAGTCTGTCCACAGACTTTTTTTTTGACAAATCGACAGCGCGGGAGAGTGAGCGCAGAGCGCAAGAACGACCCCCTTGCGCTTAGGGTGAATATTTCCATACACACGCTCGACAATCTCTAAAGAGTAAATAGAATGTCTGTGAACAGGCTAGTTGACTAGCACTTGGGTTTATGGCGGTGAGTTGATCTCTCTCTCCCACTAACATCAGCCTCCTAAATGCTTAGCAGCACTGACTTCAGCACCCTCTTTGCACACTATTCGCACCAGTCCCTTGCAACATGAGTGTAAATAAGAGCATCGCATCTCATTTCGGCGCAGTTCGTGGAAGAATCCATTCGCTCTGTTATCCGGACCTTGTATTATTCAGATGGCTGACGAAGCGGTCCCCCGCCCTTCCCACGACTCCTGAAGGTTTTACACGCTAATGTTTTGCTTTTGTTGAGCTATTTTGAAAAAGTAGCTCAGATGTCAGTGGTGTGAGCGTATGTATCTTTGTAACTTTGTATGTTCGGATGTTTGTTGCAAGAGCCAATAAGGTTAAAGGTACTATGAGTTGATGCTTAGGAACCAATGAGATCTTGGCATCTACTTAAACATGACATCGCTAAAGGTCCAACAAGGGCACTTTGAGACCGCCATCTTGATTCTTTACAGTTTTTTCGTCTTTTATTACGGCTACAGGTGTTTGGAAACATTATATTAAATATCTTCATGATTCAAACGCTGTGTACAGTGATGCAGCTGTTTAAGAGTGAATGTCCACTAACGTCGAGCAAGGGGTGGCACATGATGAAAAATCAAATTTTTTCATTTTTTGTCTAAAGATACCGTATGGTGGTCCGAGAAACGTGGTAGTGTTTTTTTTATTGAAATGTTCTTTTGAACGCGAAAAAAATAATAAAAGCCTGTTTCTGCCCCACATGTCGTGAAAATAATGGATAAAAAACGTGTTTAACACCTTCTAGTAAACTTCGTCCTGTTTAATTCGCGTCAAAGGGAGACTCTCAGTTAAAGGTCAAAAAAGATATTTTGAATGTTTGCAAGTTATTTGAGTACAGTTTTAAACCTGTGGATTTATTTTTAAGGTCGTGGTGATCATCTGAAATTCACCGAAATTCGCTTGCCTAAAATTCTAAATTTGATGCACTTTTTCAAAAGAAAGTTTCATTGCCCGGTAAAGCACCGAATCACTTGAAACTAAGAATTCTCAAGAGAGAAAATGAGGTACTAAAATGTGATGTAATTTTTTTCTCCGGGCTTTCTATCAGCGCCGTGTGCCAGCGCTCTAAAAATCTCGAAAATCACAAACTTACAACATGTCAACATCTGGAAACCGTAAACAAACGCGCCGAACAAATTTCCGAAACTTGCAGATTTTGTATTGTTTCTTTCGTTTTTTCCATGAAAAAAAAAGCAGATATAGGTCTTTCAGCTTAGTTTGAGTAAGGAATATCAGAACACCAGGCTCTGAACGAAACAGTGCTAGTGCTATCTTTAAACGTGTGAGTTTGACTAATAGTCGCGGGTCGCGGGTCGCGGGTCGCGGGTCCAATGTCGCGGTCGCGGGTCCAGTGTCGCGGTCGCGGGTCCAAAGTCGCGGTCGCGGGTCCAATGTCGCGGCAGGGGAAAATGATTTGGGGTTTCTAGGTAACAGCTGAGTGAAAACGACTGATATGAACACAATATAAAGGGAAAAAATCTTTTTTTATGCACGATACTCTACGGTAGCTTTACGGTAGCCAATTTACAGGTTACGGATGTTAGAGTCAACAAAATAATGTCTCAAGAAAAGTCCTAAAAGAAAAAGCTGGCCGACTTTTGTGTTCACCGCAAGTTCATTTTGTTTTCTTTCTATCGGGTCCAGTTGCATAACAGTATATGATAAAAAGTGTTACCAGGAGTTACCATAGTTTTCTTCTTGTCGATGAATTGCTCACAATTGCTTAGGGGTGCATTCACTGAAAAATGTGCGGTACACTTCATAGACTATAAATTATAAACGTTACAACAACTTAAAACCTTTTTTAAAAAAGGCTAACTCGGGCTCGAAAAGCTACGAGTCTGTCGGTAGAAGAAACGAGAACTGTTTCAATTTTAACAAATGTTTTCGGCAAAAATAAAGAAAACGCTTGTTGAAAAACGTCCTGGTCGCAAACTCCCAAAATAAACTCTTTGCACAAGTAACTGGAAAGAGGAGGAGAGACGTTGGGCTTGAAGTGCCAGTAAAGTACAATCAAGCGGGTATTCGTCAAGGCATGAATTTAATATAGAAAAAAGTAATAATCCACAGCAAGAGGGGATAAAGCTCGCGCTTTATCCTCTCTTGTCCACAGAAAGGAGTTTGTTCCCACTAACGATTGAAATCCGGAATCCAAGTTCTACCAAGAGAGAATAGATCATAGTCTCTTGGTTCTACTGACAAAGACTTGAATCCAGTACCTAGAATCTGGAATTACTTACCTAATTTATTGTCTTTTCTTAGCTCTGGTGGAGTTGATTACTTACCGTTTTCAGTGTCTGGTTTACTTTCTTTTTCAGCTTCATGATATCGGGCGTTATTATTTCCTTACCTACTTACTCACTTAGTTACGATGCATGTTTTCAAGATTTGACTGAGACGCACATTGAATGGCTTCCTATTGTCAGGTTGTCCTGGTTGCCATTCAGGTAAAGGGAACAAAAAGGTATATTGAACACTCTGGGTTGCCGTCTAAGTTGTAAAAATAAAAGCATTAAGCGAGAATCTTGCTTCGAGGAACAGACTCCTTTCTGTGGATTATTACTTGTTTGCACATTAAATTCATGCCTTGAATAGCGCTTGAATGAAGTTTTATGCGCCTATTTACATTTTCTTTCAGTTTTACCGAAAACATTTGTTAAATATAAGAGTTCTCGTTTCTTCTACCGACAGACTCGTAGCTAAGTTGTTGTAACGTTTATAATCTGTAGTCTATGAAGTGTATCGCATATTTTTCAGTAAATGAACCCCTAAGCATTTGTGAGCAATTCATCGACAAGAAGAAAGCAATGGTAACTTATGGTAACTGTTTTATCATCTACTGTTATGCATAAGTTTATTCAACGCTTAATTTACACAACTGGGCCCGATAGAAAGAAAACAAAATGAACTTGCGGTGAACACAAAAGTCGGCCAGCTTTTTCTTTTAGGTCTTTTCTTGAGACATTATTTTGTTGACTCTAACATCCGTAACCTGTAAATTGGCTACCTTAAAGCTACCGTAGAGTATCGTGCATAAAAAAAGATTTTTTCCCTTTATATTGTGTTCATATCAGTCGTTTTCACGCAGCTGTTACCTAGAAACCCCAAATCATTTTCCCCTGCCGCGACATTGGACCCGCGACCGCGACTTTGGACCCGCGACCGCGACATTGGACCCGCGACCGCGACCTTTGGACCCGCGACCCGCGACCCACGACTATTAGTCAAACTCTAAACGTGTAGTCTAAGTTTACACCTACCTGATCTTATCTCTTGTTGACTCAGCTAATCAAATTCACACCATTGCTAAATGGAAACTAAAGTGCAAGCTTTTGGCTTCAGGAAAATAATTCTCAGGTGAAAAAAAGAAAAATGTCTATGGAATATTTTCCATAGTCTACAAAGTCATGTCAGCAAATGAACTCTTGTCGAATTTTGACCAAATTTGTCCGTCACGCAAAGGATTTCCTAAAGTTCGCCTAAAAAGGTTTTGTCACGCGATTACCAAGGAAGGCTAAAAACAAAGCAAACCAAAACAAAACATCCACCGAAAGACTACGAAGTCTGAAAAAAAGTATTTTAATGCCCCGGTTTAAAGGTGGGCGGCACAAATATGAGGCTTTTTTATACGAAAAGGGAGTACTTATATTAGTTGTGCTCGCGGAGACGCCTCAAAACAAACGGCGCAAAGTCAAAGATAACTTCACTTCTCGTTTCATTTTGTTTATTTAAAACTATATCAAAATGAGGCCAAACAAAACGACCCCTTTTTCTTTCTCGTGATACATGAAATATCGAAGCTTTTTTTTTTCCTCCAATAATAAGTCTGACTCTCGTATAAAAAAAAACAAACAAACAAAACGTTCTACAAATACAGACAATATTTGCAGAGCTGTAATCTAATAATCGCCAGTTGAACAAGCTGAGTACGAAACATTTCATGTTCAGAGTTCGTAGAGTTTGTTTTGCGGCTGTGAAGGGAAGTTAGTTGTTGTTTTCAGAAACTAGTTAGAGGCGTTAGCGCCTCTGACAAACGATATGAAGGAGCAGTTGTTGTTCCGCTATCTTCATGTCAAAAAGATATTTTAGGTCACACGCGCAGTGTTGGAGTTAGCGATATCAACTCTGAAGTTGAGCTTATTTTAGCGTGCGCATCAATATTTTCTCCTCCGCGCGACATTTCGTCTTGGACCATTTGCCCATCCCATCGCTCTTCCCTGGGCATTGGCTGGCGCCGAGGTGCTCATCGATGCCGAGTACCACCAGGGCTATCAAAACATGCTTCGAGAGGAAAAACGAGAAAGGCGGACCGTGGAATAAGCAAGTCGGAGTCCAAAGCTATTTTAAAACAAACAGGTGTTTTTGTTCCGGTAGGCTCTGGTAAGTACACTTTTCGTGCTTACTTCTCTGTATTTTAATTAGCTGGCGGATGTAATCAGTGTACCAGACCGTAGTAGAAACACCTTGCTAGCATTGCGAACAAAAGTGACCGGTGATTTGTTTCATTCCGTTGCAAAGGTATATGCCGTGACTGCAGGCCGACTATTGATGTTGAAGAAAAAACATTGGAAGATGTGCCAAAATCTACTCTGAACGTCGCAGACATTAGCGAGGGCATCGGAAAAATTATCTTGGTAAGTTTGATCATTTTAATGACTTGCATAATTCTGGCCCTTAAAGCATTTATTAAATTAACTAATTAGGCGCCTTTTTGTTTAATTATGCTTTGTCGCTCTTTATAAGAGAAAGTCAAGTTTGCTCCACGCAATTAAATACTGTCAATAAAAATATGTTATAGGGATCCGTTTCGTTAGGACTAATATTATCCACCCCGTCCCCTCCTAAAAAATAGGGAAAGCCTTCGGAAACAAGATAGTAATATTACAGAAACACCGATGAGAATGTACTTTAAGACACTATTTTCGTTTATAGAACAAGGATTCCCCACCAGTGCAAAGCACCCATTACACCAGGAGGGAGTTTTTATCTTCCCCCGTGCGAAGGCACATTCAGCGACGTCATTTTCGACGATGTGCAAGTCTCTCAGAATAGGCCTCTAAATGCTTTGAATACATATTTGGTTTCCAGAGATTTTAGTTCCGTTAGGTCTCAGCTACAAACTTCGTGGGAAAAGACAAGTGGACGGACAAAGCGCTACTATACACGGAAAGCTAGTCAAGGTGTGGCAGCTTTAGTACAAGATATGACACCACATGAAACAGGCCCCTTGTTCCGCGCCCTGTGTTCTTCAGACGCGCTGCGCCGCCAGCTCTCTGATGAGGAAGATTCAGATCAGGACAACATGGACGTGACGCTAATGGAGCCACTTGCCGAATGTTACCAAGCTGCTAGTCGCTGGGAGACGCGCCGCCAGATACTTTCCATCATGGCAGATAAGGTGCGTTACAAAACACTCCTCAAGTTTATCCCTGGTCTGACCAAATATCGCTTCACAGAAGCCAAAGGCCACTGTTTGACCTATGGAAGAGGAGCTCCAGTCCAGTAAGAGCATCTAGGACAGCCGTTACCTTCTCACAGATAGAACATTTTGTCGTGTTCATAACAAGCTCGCAAATTTTACAAGATCTGCCATTCAGAGAAAGGTCCATAACACTTAGCAACAAAGAGACCATTAAGATCCCAAACGTTATCAGAATGATGATTCCTGAAAGGGTGGTAAAACAGTACCTGGCCTACTGCGACGAGTCTGGTTTTAAGCCTCTCAGCCGCAGTACTCTTTTGCGCATCCTAGCTGTCTGTCCTGCCTCTACTCGAAAATCACTTCAAGGCCTAGACTACATAAGCTCAGCAGGTGCGCAAGCATTTGCAGACCTGATTGACATTGTAGAAAGACTTGGGGACGTTCGACAAGGCATGGCATGGACCGAGAACCTGCAGACTCGCCTGCGAGACGGAAAGCGATACCTCAAAAGTGATTACAAGGTAGGTAGAATACCATCCCATCACATTTTTGGCCTAAATCTTCATTTCATGTTAGTTTTCTTTGCAATGGGCGCCAGACACTTTTCAAGCGCTGCTAATTGCGTCGGCTTTTGGCGGAAATGTGTCGGCCACCAAGGTAGATGGCGCTAGCGGGTAAGGGTAAGGTTTCTTACGCAGAACTACAGAATGTGATTGTTTTTTATCAGTTTTGTATCAGTCTGTTTGCGTCTTTTTCCACTTCCAGTTAACATAGTAAAATCCAGTGCAAAATGTTAGATTTTATAACGACAACCGACAGAAATTTAATATCTTGTAGTGCGCTCTCGGTGCTTTATAATTATAGATTATAAATTTGATCTGCGTTATATTAGTACAAAAGACCTTGAGGGAAAAACCATCAACTACCTCCCACCCCTCCCTCTCCTGTTCGTCCGAGGGTTAAGACCATATAGGCTCGTTTAATAGAAACAAGCTGAAAAAATGACTCTTTAAGGCGCGGAAGCTCTCCCAAAGTCATTGTAAGTATAACAGTCATATCTGTAATATTATATTTTTGGTATAGGTGCATGTGTCTCAAAGCTCTACCGTGGCCGATCATTGCCCCCGCAGGGATTTCGCCCAGAGGCGAAATCCTGAGGAGGCACCCTAGTAACTCGCGCGTATATTAAGGGAAGTACTTACAGTTCAAATATACAGTCAGTATACTAGAAAAAATCTCGATTTGCTCGAACAGGGGCCGCGAGGAATCGGTAGGTAATGATGACGTTTCTATTGTTTGCGCCCGCAAGTACGAAATGGTTAGGATGACGTAAAGACAGAAAATTCCGAAGGGACCGCTCAGGTAGATTTTGTGACATTTATTATGCAGTCATACTTCGATACTCTTTTGCGTTACGCAGTGACATTCTGTGGAGCAGTTGTTTTGAAAGTTATGGGCCAAAAGACACTCCTTAAGCGCAGATGAGGTTATTAGGTGCGTTTATCTGTGTATATATAAACACTTGGAGGTTTGCCAGACACGACTTCACAAATCTTTGATTTATATTGGAAACCTTGCCAGACATTCTTTCTCTCTCTTTGACCGGAATAAGACTCAGCCCCAAACAAGGAAGACGAGTGAACAACGGCTAGCTTATCACTAGCAGATTGAAGGACAATTACAGGAATTCGCCGAGAATCAAATTCTGTGCTGACGTTTTCCCTGCTCACAGATGTCCTTACGTATAAAGTTTCAAGTAAGACTAGAATGCGCGAGCGTGAATCGATCACACGTCCTATTTATTTCTAAGGCTTACTTTCCGGCAAATAAAATGAACTGAATGTAAAAAGTGAAAGAGAAATAGCGAAAAATTCAACTTCTAATTAAATCTTTTCGTATGGTTTAGAATAAACTATTCTCGAAACTGAGAATGTTTTGATCAAAGCTGTGTAAATCGAGCTGAAACTGTGCATGGAACCTTGCGTTTCCTGTATTTATCTCACCTGTTGTATGGAATATGTGTGAAAATCTTCATTATGAATCGGTATATTTCAAAGAGCTACACAAGGAGCAAGAATACTATTGACCGACAACATACAGAACGGGGGCAGCTGTAGTATCAACTATTACTAGTTGTAGATTATTTGCTCTGAGCGACCCAAAAGAGCCTGCCTTACAGGTTCAGTGCGACCATGAACACAAGGAGTCCTGCGATCGTTGTGATCAAGTGGTATCAACTCTCAGCGAGATAGATGCAGCGCTTATCGTCCAGAAAGGCAACATGCTACCCGGAGTCTACGAGGAGCTATCATTCAGCGTCAGGCATGCGAAGACAAACATCCTTGCCTGGAAGGCTCATATACTGCGCTCTATCAACCAAGATTCTTCCAGAATTGACATCCTAGAAATGCTTGACGAGTCATCTGTGTTAGTTATCCAGGACTGGGCCATGAAGTATCTGCCAAGGAAATACCGCGAAAGTCAAACTGATTGGTTCGGTAAACGCGGTATTCCTTGGCATATCAGTGTAGCATTCAGAAAGATTAGCGACCAGTTTCAAATGCTGACCTTTGCCCATATCTTCCAGACGTGTAGTCAGGACAGCTGCGCAGTTCTCGCAGTAATGGTAGACGTCATTAAGCAGCTCAAGACCATCATACCAGGCCTGAAGAAAGTCAGCTTCCGCCAAGACAATGCTGGTTGCTATCACTGCGGGACCACCATTGTTTGTGCAAGCACGTTAGGAGCAGAGCTGGGTGTAACCATCAAACGGCTTGATTTCTCCGATCCCCAGGGTGGAAAAGGAGCCTGTGACCGCAAGGCGGCATCCATAAAATCGATATGCATATTTACCTAAATTCAAGACACGACATCGAGACTCCAGAACAGATGACAGATGCAATTCGATCTTCCGGTGGGGTACCATCACTGAGTGTCACCCTTTGTGACTCCATCACAAGCCCTTCAATGGACTCACACAAGATCGATGAAGTAAGCCTACTCTCGAATATAGAGTTTACTGAAGAGGGAATCCGTGTATGGAGAGCATATGGCGTGGGAACCGGAAAGCTGATATCGCAGATACCTGAGGCTTCGTTATCAAACAGGCTACCGTCCTTGGTAGTACGCCAGGCGCACCCAAGCTCATTCTCATCGGGTGTGAAAAGACGAGCACATGGCGCGCATCCGAGTGGTATCCGCAGCACTGACGATAAGACCGAAACTGAAGAAGAGCACTCAGCATCGCGCGAGGCACTGTTCACGTGTCCTGAGGAAGGTTGTACACAGACATTCCTGAGGCACTCCTCCACGATGCAGCACTTGGATTGTGGAACACACAAGCGCGCTTTAGAGAACGAAACACTCTTCGACAAAGCTGCCCAACAATATGCAGAACAACTCGAGGGGCAAGCCATGGTGGTGCCAGTAGTCAGCACTGTCAGCAGACGAGCAGGTCACACAGACAGCCAACCCATGGGCTATGCACTCAAGCCACGTGCTACACGGAGGACTAGGTTCACGGCAAACCAAAAGTCGAATCTAACTACAAAGTTTAAGCTTGGAGAGCAGACCGGAAGTAAGGCAGATCCTGCAGCTGTTGCGAGATCAATGATGTGTGCAAAGGATGCAACTGGAGATAGATTGTTTTCAAGCGACGAGTTTCTTCCAGCAACCCAAATAGCTGGCTTCTTCTCACGCCTTGCTTCAAAGAAAACCCTCGAGAATGACGATCAGGAAGATGAAGAGGTCGCCGCACATGAGAATAATCTTTGTGAAATGGTGTCCCAAAATAAGGTGAATGAATTTTGCAGTACAGTTTTAAAGGACATTTGCACTTCCCTTGGTATTGACACTGCAGGCATGACGGTTCGACGCAAGAAGCCGTACATCGACAAAATACAATCGCTTTGTCAGGAATGCGCTTGTCAACAGTGAGGCGTTCTTGAAACATTCTACTGTCTTGTATTAAGATTTTGTAATTCACAAGCGAAAACTGAAAACGAGTTAGAGAGAGAAACGAGTTGTGTTGAGAAAAGATAGGCAACATGTACGAGAGGCAGCAAGTCTTTTATATCGTAGGTCTAGGTTTTGAGTTAAAAAGTTCAAAAATGTTCCGCCAAAGCCCCTTAGCAGAAAAGAGACGCCGAAAAACTCTGCAACCCTCTAATGTCTACTCTTTGGTGTATAGTAACTTCATTCCATAACTTTTTTATTCTTATTTATATCACTAAAAAATAATGGCGCATTTACATTTCACGTTCGTTATTAGTACAATGATATGCAAGCCGAAAAGGCACATAGAAAGACGTATTTTCACAAATTCGTTTATGGTAGGTGGGTTCTTACTGTCGCCTTTAAGATTTTGATGGGCTGGTTTTGTGGCTAAATGTACCAGTCAACGGCAGTTTTCCTACCCGTTATCGAAGGGCGGTACAACAAACTTTCACCTTGTATAAGGATGAGAGAAGTCATCTCTGTAACTGATTAAGCAAATGACCCGGTCCACAGGTGTTTGAAGGATATGTTTTGTTTTATTTTTTCTATCCGTTTGGCACAAAAAGCACGTGGAATTTTTTTTATGTGCCACTGCACAATTTTTCCCCTTTAATTTCTGATGTGTACAAGCAATTATGTTTATCCCTTCCGTAAATTGCTGATTATTTTTAATGATTAAGTTGAGCAGGAGCAATCGGCTTCTGGTTAAACCTAAAAATTCTGGTCAATAATATAGAGACAACGTACGCTTACTAGAATGTCTAAAACTAATTTTATAAATAAAATTTCTCTTTATTTTTTTCCCACCATATCTGTATACATTTTTTTATGAGTATTTGCGCTCCCTCTCCATGGCCTTATCACCAACTCATGAACATGCATGACCACTTCACTTATTGCGAGGCGTTAGCTACGCAAACAGTCCTTGAAGGAGGCTTTACCTCAAGCGTTCAACACGAGATAACCGTTGGTAAATGGTGTTTAATAAGAGTTTAAACAGGAGATCAAGGAAAATGCTTTGAAATTTACGGTAAAGCAGACTTACTTCAATCATAAGTGCTCTTGCTAACATTTTAGATCATGGGACAGAAATAGAACATTCGAGTCGGTTGCTTGCAAGCGATACCATCTTTAATTGTTGAGATGCCTACATTCAAAGATAAAATATACTCGGAACCAGATATTTTGAATGTCAGATGAGTATAAAGTTTTTCGTCATTTCTTCTGTAGTTTATGGGTAAAAAACGCTAAAACCAAGGAGAAATATCCAAGGTTTTTGTTATTTACGTGAAGGAATGTGTCACTTGTTTACACAGTTTATGCTGTGATAATATCCGGATTTTAGAGCGTTATTACTCGCTTCTGATAAAAAGCCCGAAAATATCTTTTATATCTGGCTAGAGAACAACATTTCGTATTGTAAAAAATACTAACTTCAAAGCGATTGGCGTTTTACCGGATAGGGAAATCATACGGTGAAAAAGAGCGCCGAATTAGATAGATAGATAGATAGATAGATAGATAGATAGATAGATAGATAGATAGATAGATATGTATTAATGTATGATCTCATTCAAAACAACTGCGACACAGTTTGCGTTTAAAATCACGTAAAGAATCTGCAGATCTTAAATCATGGGATAGGCTGTTCCACAGCTTAGCTCCGCTATAGGAGAAACTTTTCTTTAAATAATTGGTACGGGGCAGTGGAAGGACTAATTTATTTTCAGTATTCCTCAATCGATAAGAAGTTATTTCGTCACGAGATACAAATTTAGTCGGGAGTCATCCCATGTACGGTTTTATACATCATAATAGCCGTCGATACTTGTCTTTGGTGTTTAAGCTTACGCCAACCCAGTGCCAGGAACAAATCGTCCACATTACAATCAGAATTAGCGGACATTAGAATACGGGCTGCACGATTTTGGAGCCTCTGCAGCTTATCGGAAAGACCAATGCCGCAGTTGCTCAATACGCCATTACAGTAATCAGAATGCGGTTGAATTAAACTGTCGTAAAAATTAATTAATACCTTAAAAGGAATAAGATGTCGTATTCTTTTAATTGCATCCAAAGCAGAAGCAATCTTTTTACAAATACTCTGTATGTGGCATTCCCAGCTTAAGTTTTGGTCAATATGCACTCCAAGAGATTTTGCCGTTGACACTTGCATCACGGGATGGTCGTTTATCATAAAAGAAGGAGTTTCAGAAAGCTTTGATAGCTTCTGCCTCGACCCAAATAACATAAACTCAGTTTTAGTCAAGTTAAGGGTCAGTTTGTTAGCCGATAGCCATATATACACCTTGTTTAAATCGTCGTTAACGCAGTCATTTATGAGTTTTAAATCTGCGCTGGCATAGGTTAGGCTGGTGTCATCGGCATACATTCTAGGTTGTGAAAAATGCAAGCAATTAGGTAGGTCATTAATATACAGTAAAAACAATAACGGTCCAAGAATTGTTCCCTGGGGAACACCACATGTAACTAATTTTGGGTTTGACATTGAGCAATTAATTTGGCAAGTTTGGGTACGATTGTTTAAATACGAAGTAAACCATTCGTGACAGGAACCGCGTAATCCATAATATTGTAATTTCGTTAATAAGATATGATGATCAACTGTGTCGAAAGCCTTTTTTAAGTCTAAGAAGACAACGGCATTGACAAGGCCACGATCAACGTTCACTGCCCAGCTATCGGTAGCTTCGAGTAATGCGGTTACAGTAGAATGTAAAGAACGAAAACCAGATTGGTAACGGGATAGAATACGATTCTCAGTAAGATAGTGATACAACTGGTCGTAGACTACCCGTTCAAATACTTTGGCCACGACTGAGATCACCGATATTGGTCGATAATTGGTGGGATCATTTCGTTTACCAGAATTTTTATACAATGGAGTAACCCTAGCCGACTTCCACTCATCGGGAAAAATTCCTGTCAACAGTGATTGATTAAATATTAAAGTAAGAGACTCGGCAATTGGATCAGGGCACTCCCTTAATAATTTAGCTGATATACTATCTAATCCAGTGGCCTTTGATTTACAAAGTTTTGAAAGGAGAGAATAAATATGAGCAGACGTTATTTCCTTGAAGACAAACTCCTTAGAAGTTCCACAAAGAAACTCTTTGTAAGTGGTATCAACATTAGAAACATTTCGAGTAAGCCTTGGTCCAATCTCAATGAAGAAAGTGTTCAACAATTCAGCAACTTCTGCTTGATTGCTCGATATTAGTCCCTGATATTGTATTTCATTTATTATTGTTTTATTAGATTTGCGGGAAGTCAATTCATTGATGGTCTTCCAGGTCTTACGTTGATCACCGGCATAATTATTAAAAGAATTATTATAATAGGCCTTTTTAGCAGCCTTGATTTCCTGATTTACTTTATTTTTGACCTTCCGGAATCGATTCTAAGAGGACGCATCCTTAGTTTTAACAGCTTTTTTCTTTAGCCGGTTTCTGAAATTCATTCGTTTTTTCAAATTTTTGGTAATCCAAGGAGACTTGTTTAGTTTTCACAGGGGCGTGCTTATCACAAACACTTAGGAATAATTCTTTCCATTTTTTCCACATGTCATCGGGGTCGTACAGTTCTTTGATATCGTCCCACAGTTGCGTCGAAACATCATTACGGAAATTATTGCTGTTGAAGTGTTTAAATTGTCTATAGCTGATCAAATTGATTCCTTTAGAAACAGGCGGGATTGAAATTTTACGGTACGCGTAAACAAGACTGTGATCGCTTATACCCACGTGTGTCACCCCAGAACAGAGAATATTGTCTTGGTGACTGGTGAAAATAAGATCAATTAGGGTACTTGTTAAGAATTCCATGAGAATTCCGGGC